GTTTCCATTTCATTCTCCATTACCCCTATATAACCCCAACATACCATAGTAGTTTCCATTTGATTTTCCATTATCCCCATATATAACCTCAATATTATAACCCCCATATATTCCCTAGTGTCCATTTGATTTTCCATTTGATTTTCCATTATAGTAGTTTCCATTTTGTTTTCCATTATCCCCCATGTCCTTGATCTCAAACAGCAGCTTTGCAGTGCCCGAGGCGCTTGCACGCCACACCGCGATGAGGGCAGGCTTGGACCTCTTTCTGGGTTGCTGTTAAGGAATCTAAATTAAGTTACCATAATGGGTATATGTAGTAAATAATGGGGTTTCCCCAGTATAGTAACTTAATTTAAGTTCCTTAACAGCAACCCAGTCTTTCTCTTATCGCTCGCGGTTTAGGGTTTAGGGTTTAGGGTTTGTAGGGTTTAGGGTTTAGGGTTTAAGGTTTAGGGTTTAGGGTTTAGGGTTTGTAGGGTTTGTAGGGTTTGGGGTTTGGGGTTTGTGGGGTTTAGGGTGTAGGGTTTGTAGGGATTTAGGTTTAGGGATCCGGGCCGCCTTGAGTTCCTTCCCAATTCAGCCATTCAAGCGGGACATAGAGATGTACCGTAATCCCTGAATCCTAATAGGGCTCGGTAAGGGAACCCATGGTTATTTTGCACCAATATAACATCAACACTACGCTCTTACAACCACTCTTCTCCCTAAAGTTTGGGTTTAGGGTTTGAGTTGATACACTAGCCGCTAGCCGCAACCTCCAAAATCCTCCAGAGCCTCCCTGCAATACGCGGACTGCTACTGACATCCCATTTGCATCTCTCCCCTGTGGAAATCCCAGAACATGAAAACCCCAAGCTTGGAGCAAGCGGTTTAGGGTTTAGGGTTCAAAAACCATGTTGAAACTTGCTTAAGCCTACAAGTAACTTCATCTATGAGATATTGAGGTTTTGTGCTAGCCATGTGCGCCCTAACACCCTCGAAGCCTGAGCCCCTCCAGGCAAAGGTGCAAGTTCTTGGGAGGGTTCGTATCAGCAAATCCCACGCACGTCAAGAAATCATATCGGAAAACATGTGCCAGCGTTGGATCTTGGAATGCTACGGCTACAATACAACAAGCCTTTGAAACATAAAAACTCATCCAAAACTGTTGAGAAGGAGCGCACTCCTTCAAGTCCTCAGCCAAAGTATCTGCTCAAAAGCCGTACCTGGACCCCCAGACGTACGGAGAATAATGGCCTTCGGGACCAAATTTAAGGGGTGTTGGGCCATAATCTTAACTACTTTTGAGGTCCAGGTAGAACCTCAACCATACACGTCCAAACACTAAGTCTTGAATCCTTTGGGCAATGCTCCACATGCAAACCTTCCAATAAACCACCATTCGGAGGCACTGCTGTAGTTTGCCCAGTAAACCCTTGAAACTTGAAACCTAAACCCTGCACCCAGACCTAGAACACTGACCATAACCCTAGGTCCTAAACTCCCAAACCCTAAATTCCTAAACCCCTAGACCCCAAGCACTAAACTCCGAACCCTAGTCCCCAAACCCCCAACACCTAAACCCAAAAAAAACAAAGGCCCAAACCCCCAAAACCCAGCCCATCCCAGCCCCCTACGACCCCCAAGGCCTGCAACCCCAAACCCTCAATCTCCCAAAACCCATCCCCTCAGGGCCCCCTGCCCCAACTTCTCGGAAGCTGAGGCAAAGCGCCTTCCCCCAGGGGCCGCCTCGGTCAGGCGCTAAGTTCAAAGGTCCAAACCAGGGATCACTACTGTTGATACTAAAAATCCTGCATGACCTTAGTATACTACAGTACCATTATTCCCAAGGTTTAGGGTACTTAAGGTCATGCAGGATTTTTAGCATCCACCGTAGGACTCTTCTAACCCCTATAAGCCATACATGGTTATGTCCCCATGATATCCTTACTTACTAAATAAATCCCCCTGACCCTCCAAATAGGGTTCAGGGGTTAAGGGCGCTATAGGGTTGTTTAAAGGATATCTATGGATTTCCCAAACTTAGGCGTTCTTGTTTGGGGACCCGCATAACAAGGATTCTAGTATTTGAGGGTCTATATGGGGGGTCCCCCTATTTAGGGAAAGCACCATATGGGCCCCGAGTACTTCAAGGATTGAGGGTTAAAGGTTCTCGTTAAGGTTTAGGGGTCAGGATTTGGGGTTCGAGGCTTAGGGTCCTTTGTACGGGTTGGTTCAAGACGTGTAGGTCCTTGGGAACCTAAGAGAGCCATTGGGGAGCACTAGGGAGGACTACAGAGCATAAGGGGTTCCTAGGGGTTTAAGGTTTAGGGTTTAGAGGCTCCTAGGTTACCTGCCCATAGAGTTGTATAGGGCTGAGGGTTTAGGCCAAAAATGGGCTCTTAACCTTCGGGTAGAATGCCCTACAAACCCAATTAAGTGCCAATAGCCTCCGGGAAACAAGTAAGGGCCCATGGTTAGGACCTTAGATAAGGAACCCTAAGCCCTACAGCCTAAAGCCTAAACTCTGCGGATGCCTCAGGGACTGGTGCTTCGAAGGGAGCTGCAAGGATATATAGGGATATGGGGATACAGAGGGTTGAGGGCCACAGGGGGATCTCGCCTTCACCCTTTAAAACCAGTCAGTCACGGAATCCCTGACGCCACTATGCTACTCCCCTGGTTCCCTCCTTAGGGACACAAAAAAACCTAAACGAACGGAGAGCCTGGGTGGGCGGAAGGAGTGCGAAGGGGGACCCCGTAGTGCGACTGAAGTTTCAGCTTGAGTCTACGAGTTAGGGTTCAAGGGTCCGGTCTTGATTAGGGTTTAGGGTTTAGGGTTTAGGGTTTAGGGTTTAGGGTTTAGGGCTTAGGATTTAAAGTTTAAGATGTAAGGCTGATGCAAGTTTAGGGTTTAGGGTTCAGATTTGGAGATCAGAGGGCTGATGGGGTTCAGCGTTATCCTTTCTCAAGGGCCCTACCGAAAAAGGACCTTCATTCTGAGAAGTTTCTTTTTGTGCCCTATACACGCTCTGGGGGTGCGGGGGTGCGTGCTGTTGGGGAACTTAATCTAAATTACAAGTAATGGGGGAACCATGACCATATCATTATGGTAACTTAATTTAAACTCCTTAACAGCAACCCAGGCAAGCCAGCCCTACACTAGCGAGAACGACTTTCTTACTGAGGACCCCGCACCCGCATAGCCGCCACCGCCAGAACCTGCCTCTTCCTTGTTTGACATTAGGGCATGGTACTTCGGGACACTTGGCAGGGTTTCGCGTACATGGTATGATGGGGATGCTAACTGAAGTTCAGGGCTTTGAAACTCCAGGGTTTAGGACTCAGGGGTGGCTATGGCCTGGTTGTGTTAGGGGCTATCAACATTTGACAAGACGGGACTCCGCTTGTTAGAGATTTTGTCATTAAAGCTGAAGACTTGCTTAATCCAACTGCAGACTGCATCTATCTGCGCTGAACACGTGTGCAGCAGGATTCGCATCTTAGCTTCGGGCTGCCAGAGCACTACGTACCAACGCGTATACGCATAATGTCCCTGGCGAAGACAGCACATGTTATATTTACACACACCTCAATCTGAACTAGAAAGAGTCATTTCCGAAGCAGCAAACTATAAACCCCGAATAAGCCCTGAACAAACCCACTACATTGTGACGTCCAGCCAGGGAAGCACCCTGGATTCTGGGGCGCCGGCATCGAAGGGGCACCATCTGAGAACCCTGCGCTTAGGGCTCGGGATTTTGGTGCACATATTCTAGGGCTTAGGATAGAGAGCTTTCTGATTAGAGTTCAGGGTTTTGGGTTCAGCCGCGAGCAGTGGAACCCCATTACATAACAAAGAAACTTTGTAGTCCGAATCTGTTACTTCCCTTGTGTAACAAGCTACACCTACACTTCTGGTAAATGGAGGCATAGGCCGGAATTGCCAAGATCTTTGGCTGAAGAGGTCGGAGGATTCGGCTGTTGGGGAGTCAGGCAGGGTTGAAGGCGGATTTGGGGTTTCGGCTGTGGCAAAATGCTCAAGAGTCTGCACTCTGCCTAATCATTCATACTACCAACACCGAGGTGGGTATGGGGATCTCTCAACATGATGCGTTTGAAGATGCTTACCAAGCTTTTATATGTAGGGTGACAATGAAAATTTCCCCCAAAAAAAGTTCGGAAGATTACAATTGCTTTCTTACAAGTTCGCAGGCCCAAAACCTGTGAACAAGGTCTATCCGCAAGAAGAAAAAATGACGTACCCTAAACCCAAACCAGAAAACTCCCTTCTCAAAAAGGGTTGAGGGTTTAGGCAAGCTCAGGCTTTACTACTTAGTACTGCAAGTACTACCCACACCCCTGTTTAGGGTTTAGGTCATTGTTGCGAACCCGCCCTCTCCCTCCCCTAGCAAAACTGCAGTACTCATGTGTCTTTTCAAGGGCGACCGGGATTGTCCTCATGTCAGGGTAACAGTCACCCCCATGAGTCGTCGCCCACAACCTACTTATGATGCGCATACACTCCTAGGGTCCACAGTGAGGTTCACAGCCATGTCTCAGGAAATGCATATACAGGAAAACTGCGTTAATCATCGTTTCCTTCTCACCCCAAGGGACTTCTGACCAGGGAAAGAGGTACAGCGATATCAAACATCCAAAGGTTGGTCTAGATTCTAGATAAGCCCACTACTTTGAAATACAGGCCGATGGCAAGAGCCAGAACACAACAGACAACAGTAACAGTGATTTCCTACGCCTGAGCCTCCTTTGCTGGTACTGACGCTAGCGCTGCTTCTAAGACTACTGCTTCACCTCCGCTGCTTCACCGGAGACAGCAAGAACAATGACATGGACACCTGCTACAGGATTGACAAGGGGTTTAGGGTTTGGCGCTTGAGTTTGTGGCATAACCCTAGGAATCCAAGTACACCAACAATACCGACATTGGGCCCTTAAGTCTGCAAATATTACCTTGGGGCTCACCCGCCCCAGAAAAAAGGCGCCCAAGGAGTGGCCTGACTCTGCCACCATGGTCCAGGGAGGTCTTCGGGGACACCACAGTAAAGTGCTGCAGCTTGTCGGGGTTCCCCTGTCCAGAAGCTTCAGTGCTTCCGGTCTAGGGAGGTGTGGCGTTTGATTGGAGAGAACGGCATGAAGTTGGGTTCCTGAAGACATGAAAGCAAGGTTACTTACGCAGGTGACATTGGAGGTTGGGATCTGCGTGTTAAGGTGCACAGCTTCAGGGACCTTAGACTATTGTCTGAGTGTCTTGAGGATTTTGTCCCTTCATCTGGGATCCTTGAATTATTGTGCGTATACGGAGATTATATCAAAGATTATGTGGTTTTAAGTGCCCATCCATTTAAACCCCAAACCTTGAATTTAGTGGTTCGGCTCCGTGGCGTGCGGGGTTTCAGCTTCAAGGTCTTCAGAGTTCAGGGTTGGAGCTTTCAAGTAGCAGCCTTCATAGTTGCCAATACCATCTTCAGGTCTGTTTGATATCTATTTCCCTATACCATACTTATACCAGGCATCTGGAACCATAATATTGGCAATGACTTGGGGCCATGACTTGGATCCTTTTTAATACAGGGCTACATAGCTTCAACCCGGATGAGGCACCTCCCAGAACTTGACCTGACCATCAGCCGATCCGCTCATGAGCAGAGACGGCGCCTGGTACGCCAAAATTTTGAGGTTTGTCGAAATCTCGCGGTGCCCTTAGGTTCCTTTGGGGGACATCTCATACAAGGTTTAAGTCTAGAGTTCTAGAGTTTTGGGTAGGAATTTGCCTCCATGCCTTTATACTTCTGCAAACTACCGTTTCTGAAGCTACCCAATGACGTACATGGTAGGGTCTAGGGATTTGAGACTTCTGCGTGAGGAGTTAGGGATGGGTTTCTTAGTTGTAGTGACAGGAGTTGCTAGAAAAGCTTGCTCTACGAAGGGGGCTCCTTTGAATTGAAGAGGAGTACCAGGGATCCCGGGAAATAAGGTTTAGGGCTCAGGGATTGTGAGGAGGTTTCAATTCCGGGTTTTCTCAGACCTTGTTGTTCCCTTTCTAGGCCGCACATCCCTGTCAAATATTCGCATGCATCAAAACTACCGTCTCAGGACGACCCCCGCCCGAAAAGTCTTGAACACGCGGATTACACGCCAAGAAATTGCATCCCAAACTCTCAGAACCCTTGACCCCCAATCCCACCAGGTGCCTAAACCCTGAACCCGAGAGTATTTGGAGAAGCTTGGGCAGCAGCTTCGCATACATCCAGCGTGAAGACAGCGCCTGTATGCCCTGGCGGTGCGGCGCCAGGGTGTTCGGTTCAGGCTTTAAGTTTGAGGTTCAATGCTATAGTTGCTTAACCCTATAGTAGTTTCCATTTTCTTTTCCATTATCCCAATATATCCCCAATATAACCCCGGTATAGCCCCAATATGTAGGGTTTGCTGGGGTTTCATCTGCGATTTAGGGCGCTTTCAGAACTGCAGAGCCTGTCTACTCAGGGCTCAACGAGTTTTCGTGGGATTTACCACGCAAATTGGTGAATCAACCCAAGAAGTACCTGGACCCTAAAAGTATGTAAAATAATGGCCTTAATGGCTATAATTATGGGTTTAGGGCTATTATTTTACATACTTTTGGGGTTTAGGTATGAGTGATGCCAGGACCGCCAGGAGCGGTACGAGGCTTGGAGTCTGACTTGCATTGGCAGCACTTTCAATACCTGAAATCTTGTTCACATGGCTGCGTAGCTATACCCCAATTTTACCTACAATCTTCTTGACCACTCCCCTATATAACCCCGTATACCCCTATCTAATCATCCCCTTGGCCCACCCCTCGGCCGTTGCCGGGGGGCCACCAGAAAGCTTGGAGCCTGCGAAGGTGACGATGGCCTTCAGAAGCTTGTTCTCCAGGGACCAGCAGATGAGATAGCCATCCTCCCGGTCAGGGTAAAATGGGCCTAGCAGTAACAAAACCTTTTTTCAGTCATACGTTCTCCAGTAGCGCAATAACAATAATAATAAGGGTACCCTTTTTTCAGCTTTAACAAGGAGAACCAACATTTAAAGGGAAAAAGGGTACTACGGGGGTACCTAAGTAATAACTATGCAGATAAGTGGCCACAAAGCGGTTCTGCAAACTGGCAATGCTCCTCTTCTGAACTGCTAGGCTAGAAACCCACAAAACATGCGAGCTACAGTCAATATTTCCGACATAATTCAGTGGACATGTGTTCCTTATAAGGGACAATACTAGGGGGTTAGATTAAGCTACAACAGGGAGCCCTATGTCCACTGATAAGGGTCTCTTAATGAAGCTAATATTGAAAGTAGCTCATGTCACGATGCGCAAGGCTTGGCCCTCACAAAATGCTCTTGAGTTGCTAAACACGCAACCCTTAACTACATGATGGCTCTACACGCTCACAGCCAGAGAGAGCTTCTCGGACACAGGAGAGTGGTCCCTGTGGTACGGTTGAGGGAGGAAACTCTGCACCACCCGAAGTAACCTGAGCGGCTAGAGTAGTGTCTCAGTCTCACATCGTCACATGTTGGCTACGTTGTTTCCATGGCAACCTCACAGCAATTCCAACATGAGACGCTGTAACTAGCACTACTACTTTCTCCCTTGGGCGCCGAAGCTAGAGGGCCATCAACAAGGCAATGCTCCTTGGAGCAGGTGAAGAGATACCTGACGCAGTGTGTTGTTAGGCTTGTTCGGATTTAGGCTTCGGAGTTTGAACGGGATACCTCTTGTTGGGGCGGGGGGGCGGATTCTGGCGCTCTGAAGGGGCTATCAGGTATTGTAGAGGACCTGAGGCCTTCTTGCAGACGGTTTAGGGGCTGTATTGGTAGCCTCCTACCTAAAGATCATCATACTCACTGCAAAACACCTTGAGATACCGCATCAGCAAGTCTGCGGATGTCCGAAATCCGAAATGCGGAAAAACAATCCCCTTCAGCAAGCAATAGACCCTGCACTCATGAGCCCTGGAGCGAGCTCATTCACCAATCCTAAGCTCAGAACTCATGTCTAATCTGAGCGCCTAGGTAGTATACTGAAAACTTGAAAACTGTTACATGCAACACATTGACACACAGGAACTGGCAGAAAGATCCAGAACAAGCTAAGGCAGGTATGTTGTTCACGGCAAATATCCCAGCCCCCAACCAAACAATCCTAAGCCCCATCTACTCCCACAACTGTACCGTAATCGCTGTGATCCTCTCTAAAGGGACGACATTATCACCCCATCCATTACTGACAACGTTTGCCAGAGTAAAACCCCTGAGGAACAAGAGCGACACTTTCCCTTTTGGAGGGAGGATACCCTGCATCACTTAGGATACCCAAAGCACTGTAAATTCCGGGAAATTGGAGAGTACACAGGGTGGCGCTACATTTCTTCCATCCAGCGTAGGGCAGCCTTTCTGTGAAACTCTAAAAAAAACTCTAAACAGTTAAACCGTAATCCTACACCCTAAACCATATAGCCTATACATAGTAGTGTCCATTTTCGTCTCCGCTCCTTAAACCCTAAATAAACCCTACACCAGAAGCCCTGAACCCTACGGTAGTTACCATTTTCTTTTCAGCTCCTTAAACCCTGAGCCCCACAACCCTAAACCCTAAATCCTGAACTCTAAACCCTAAACCCTGAACTCTAAACCCTAAACCCTAAAGCACCCCCCAAAGCACCCGAACTGGCCTGCCATCTGCTGAGATACAAACGCTCAGGATGGGCCGATCCTTGTTAAGGTGAGGTTTAGCGGTTACAAGGTTTAGGGTTTGGGGTCTAGGATTTAGGGTTTGGGGTTTACGGTTTAGGGTTTAGGGTTTAGGGTTTGGGGTTTAGGGTTTAGGGTTTGGGGTTTAAGGTTTAGGGATTTGGGATTTAGGGTTCAGGATTTTGGGTTCGGGCGTAGGGTGCTTTAGGTTGGCCACTGCCCTCACCCTGTAACAGCCATATACTTCCCTCATTTAGGATAAATGCTGCTGCAATATGTGGGCGGAAGGGGGGGGGGGACTGTGTTATGCAGAAGCAGAACTTAAGGTTCACACGGAAGTCTTAGTTGACAATAATTGTCGTGGAACGTTGGTTTTGGAGGGAAAGTTGATACCCTAAACCCTAAACCTATTGTCACCTGGATCTCTAGGCAGGACGTAGGGCTTGAAGTTTTGGGTTTCATGGTTTAAGGCTTCGGGCGTGGGGTCCACTGTCTTCCGGCAGTAATCCAGCAGCCCAATTGACAAGGCCACTGTCCTAAAGCATCTGATACTACAGCTAGTGACCATGTCTTATAGAAGGAGTATAAGGGCATAATAATGGCTTGCAATTATTGAAGCTTCTACAGTAGGCTTCTAAGGGTTCATGGAAATGGAATCAACTTGAAGGGTGTGTCAGATTTGGTGTGTCCCTTCCAAGCTCTAGCGGAAGGTCATCTTTTGGGCTTTCAGCGTGGGATCTAAGATTTGGGGCAACTGCAGCATACACAGTAGATAGCCACAGGCCAAACATGTTCTCCCTCTGAGTGGGAAAGCACAGAGGTCTCATAATGAAGCCAAGAACCCCTAGGCGCAAAACCAACCCTGCCCCTCCAAAACCCAAAGCCCTAAAGCCTGAAAACCAAATTAAACTTAAACCCTTGCAGCCCAAACCCCGAACCATGAATCCCTAAACCCCTGTCATATCCAATCCCCACATCTCCGTCACCTATAGCGGCAATCCGGCGCGTGGTCAACACGCGCCCGCAACTGACTGGAACCCTGAGGAAAGGAGTTCATCCCATCTTTTTCAAGAACCTCCGCAATTACCTTCTGATCCCTGGACATCCCTCAAGAGTACCCCATTATCGGCAGGCCGCACGTAGCTAAAGAGCACCGGGCCCCCCGCGTGGCGACACATAAATTCTGGTTTTCGCCGCTCCTCCTCCTCTTTCAGAAGGATTTGGGGTGGACTGTCTGGGTTGAGCCATGAGGCTTGTTGAAGAGTTGTTCAGGGAGCCCATGCAACCATTAGGATTTGTCAGGTGGACCTCCCGCCCTGTAATAACTCTACACCCTGAACCCTAAACCCTATATAAGGTTGCATCCATTTTCTTTTCCATTAGTACTATCAACCCTAGAAACCTTAAACCCTTGAATTAAATGGTATGCTTGTTTTGAAGGCTGGTCCCACACCTTGCTTGAGGGGGGTAACCTCTGCGAAGCCATGCTGGGCCTTCCTAGGCAAACATGCTTGCAAATGGGTTTAGGGCTTGAAGTTTAGGGTTTGGGGTTTAGGGTTTGGGGTTCAAGGTTTCAGGCAATGGCATGGGGCTTATCAGCATCAAAACTTACAGCCTAAGCACAGTGAGCCGTCGCGTCCTGCTTCCTCTCTCGGTCCAATCTGCGCTCTTGCTCCTCCCAGGCGCATGAATTCTCTTAGAAGCCCCGCCAATTCCCAGACAAACCTACGCACCAGGTCAAGGCCCAAAGAACAATCAGGGTACTTTTCAGAGACATTAGTAAGGACAAGTTAATGTGGGGGTTATGGGGGACTAACATGGGGACTACCTGGCTGTATAGGGAGTATATAGGGACTACAGAACGGTCCCTTCTAGGGCTGTCTTCTAAGAGACCGTGATACTTCATCTTCCGAACCTTCTGTTGACAGGACATGTGGCATGCTGGTAGCCGACTATAGTAAAACTGCTTAGTAAGGCTATTTCTAGGAAAGACGTCTTCAGTTACCCTTTGTGTGACGGCAACCTGTGGAATTTTTACACTGGATGCAAGCAAGAATTTTACAGCTTCTCAGCAAGCCTGATGGCACTTCCCATGGGATGGGTACCTTTAAAGGGGGCTTTTGGGTGGTTTTTCATAATATAGGGGTTAATGTAGGGGGATAGGGGGTTTGGGGTTTATATAGGGTTTCCGAGAATGAGGGGTACCTTTGTACTCACTACAGGACTATCTACAACCTCCATCGCTTTCTGCCTGTCTGAGCGTTGGCAACGATGAGCAAAAGTCCACCCGACACTTTACTTACGAAGAACTTCAGGCCGGTATGGGTTTTCCACCAAAGAAGATGTTGCTACCAAATAGGTCCATGTTGCTACAACCTGAAATGAATGCACATGAGATACTGGGACCCTTTCTAGAAGGACCCCACACCCATGTTAGTTCTGATGCACTCAACCAGCCTTGTTTATTTCACACCCTGTGCCATCCTGAAATCACCCCACACGCCTGATACGCTTCTGAAGCTCCACATGCATTTGTTGGTAGAATTTCCTCAAGAAGTTTGTTCGGGTCTCCTGCTTCCGTCGGCGTTCGATGCCTTGCACCGTGGCCTTCGGCAGCAGGGCCATGATGTCCTGGCGCTCGCAAGACTTGTGTCATACCAGTTGCAGTATTTTACAGGCAGAAGGTGGCGTTGGCCTCTTTCTCTTTTGATCCCCGTGTAAGACGGAAACAGTTCACACGAATACTGTCAGCCTTACTATGTCTTTGCGAACATGATCCAAGCTCCCAATCAAGCCAGAACTCGAAAGTATCAGATTCCGATGATGCCCAGCAGTTCGCGGGTACAAGATACTCAACTGTAGATACATGGAGCCAGGCTAGTTGTCCTCCGTCTTCCCAAGGACGTCAGAATCGCCGGGAAGTTTTCCGGCAAGCGACGTCACCTAAGTAGGGCTTCAAGTTTAAAGGGCCTCTGCCCTACACACCAAACAAGCCTCTCAACCCAAAAGAAAGGAATGGCGGCTACACAAAGTAGAATGAGGCTGAGTAACAGATCCATTACCCCTTCAGTGTCCCGCTCCTGAGTCAGAGTCAGCAGGACCCCTCCCACAACACTCTGCACATCCAAGAGTAGCCTGCCCAAACCCAAAGCCCGTCAACGAGGCGAAACACCCAACCTGTCAATCCAAAAAATCATCAACTCGAACTTTGCTTGCAGCATTATCACGCGAAACCCTGACCTAGAAGCCTGAACCATCAAGTCCCAGAACCCCTTCGGATGCTTTGAACGGTGAACCGATGAACTTCCGGCATTCAAAATGATGAGAGAATTTCGTAGCCCCGCCCTGAGGCCCTCAAACCTCGAACCTCCAACTCTAAACCCGAAACCCTGAATCCTGAACCCTGAACTGAAGACTTTCCGGTTTGTGGCTCTTAGGTTAGAGTTCCCCGGCATCTCATCTAGCCCAAAAGAGACCCCATATATCTCACAACCGTTCCTTTAAAAAAGTGCCTCAAACCTGGGAATGCAACCTGAACCCCTCAAGCCCCTACTGTTGATACTTCAGTCCCCTAATTGAAAGAATAGAAGGTATTTAGGGTCATGTAAGATTTTTAGTATCCACCGTAATTCCCACCTCTTTCAGGAGGGCATCCTTTTGAGCGACCTTGTCCTGCTGGTTCCTCAGAGCTCGTGGAACAGCAGCCGCAGCAGCAGGAGTGGTAGTAGAGCGGTAGAACTAGTCGCGGCGACGGCTGCGGCGGTGGCGGCGGCGGTGGTGGTGGTGGTGGAAGAGTAATATAAGTAAGAGAAAAAGAACAAAAAATAAGTCGAATACAAGCATATAAGGAAGAAGCACATAGTGGTAATAACCAGGTGGCGCCAAATCCTTGAGCCTAGACCGAACTGGCGTGGACCCTTGATACAGAAAGCTGCAAAGCGTTCACTTGGTAACCATCAAGAGGTCAGTAATCAACATAGTTGCATAAGCGAAAATTCATGCCAGATAAGAAGATGGCAACGGTCTGAATAGCAAGCACAGCCATGCTGATAATGCTTGCCTAAATTCAGTATTGTCATGAATATGATTCTGCTGGTATAAACACAATTGCAAGTGTTGCTCTTGCTTATCCGCCGATGCCAAGTTTCTGCGCAAGCTTCTCGCCGGCAGACACTTTCTCCTCGGGCTGCAAGGGGTGTGAGTCATATAAGGCGGGATGTCCCATGAACAGGAAATGCCATGTATACACTCACCCATACTTCCAAGGTGCCCTCTGTACGATGCGCTCACCAAAACACATTCCGTTGTATGCGCTAAAGCCAATATTTCTTAGGAAAATCAGATGTATTGGGCAGTGCCACGGAAAGCCTTGCATGAATAAGCACTGCACAGATGGGTGTTTTCCTAAAATTAGGGTCCCATTCATTTTAGTCCCCCTGAATGTAAGGTGTAATACTTTAACTTATAGCCAACAGGGGCCACAATTTTGACACCGATAGGCAATACACTCCAAACGGTCACCTGCCCAAAATCAAACTTCTGGAGCATTCAGTTGACTATAGTCCCCCTCAAGTAGATGAAATATGGCTTCAGGTATATTAAAAACAAGATCCCACAGACGGCAAATTCTATCTCCTTAAGGGGGGCTATAGCCATCCGATCATGGCAACAACCAAGCCTGAGGCGAGTTCATTGTTGAAGGGACATTCTTGGAAAGATACTGTTGATGGAGACACAAAGCTGCACCGCCTAAAGCGCCTTCATCCTGGGAATTAGAACGGTCAAGGGATGCCAAGATTTCCTCCATCAGAAGTAGCCCCCCGCACTCTTTTCTGAGACGGGTCTTCGATGTGAAAGCCGTCTTTACATCCCCTTAAGCCTGAACAGAAGCCTCCAAAACCGAGATAAGCCAGAAACCAAGCAACCGCCCGCTCCCCCGCCTGAACCCACCCAAGCACACAACAAGAAATGCATACCATACACGCAGACATCCTGAATTATGGATTCCCTCTGCCTAAATGCGCGGACCTAATGGAGCAGATCTCTTAACCCTTGAGGCTTTATTCCTCTGCTCCTTTCGCACTATGTGCATTGGTGCCTCAGCAAGACCTTGCCTGCCACTCTCAGAACCTCAGCCACTGAAACCGGCTTATATGTGGGTTATATGGGGATAATGGAAAAGAAAATGGAAACTACTATTTAGGGTTATAATATCTGAGTCTGCTGTTGCTCTTGGGCCGGGGCAGCATGGCGGTATGAGCAGTTGAAATCGTAGTTTCCATAAATAGAGGGACCCCTATGTAGA